TCCTTGGAATGCACAAACAAAGAATCCCCAAACTAGCTTATAACATGCTTGTACATTTAGATGATAGGGGTAAGACAACCTGGGCGTCTCATATCAGAACTCTTTTATTTTCTCATGGCTTTGGATTTGTGTGGCTAAATCAAACATTTGTTAATATCAATCTATATCTTAAGCAATTTCGAGAACAATCTGTTAGCATGTATTATCAAGAATGGCATTCCTGTCTAGACAATAGTTCAAGATACCAGTTGTATAGATCACATAAGAGCTTATTTCAACCAGAACTATATCTATCTGTACTGACATCTAGAAATATCAGACACACACTTGTCAATTTTCGATTGGGCTTGTTAGACTTATCAGTAAATAAGGGCAGACAATTTTCAATAGAGAGACGTTTAAGGATATGTTCATTATGTAACTCGGCTATAGAAGATGAAATTCACTTCGCTTTTGTATGCCCACATTATGCTGATTTAAGAAAAAATATATCCCCAAAATTACCTGTTAAAATATCCTTCATCTGCCTTTGCTTCCATTCTATCTTCCAAAAATGAAAATGTAATACGTAATCTTGCGCTTTATGTAAAACATGCTGTTTTCCTTAGAAGCAATATCTTATCTGAACTGTAATTTCTTTGTGAAATGTCTGTAACATGTGCTGTATATATACTTGTATTACTTTGTATATGGGCCGGAGGCCTTAAGTACAATAAATATCTTTGACTTGACTTGAGGCTCCGTACATTGATCACTTGGTTGACATCATTGAGGCTCCGTACATTGATCACTTGGTTGACATCATTGAGGCTCCATACATTGATCACTTGGTTGACATCATTGAGGCTCCGTACATTGATCACTTGGTTGACATCATTGAGGCTCCATACATTGATCACTTGGCTGACATCATTGAGGCTCCATACATTGATCACTTGGTTGAAATCATTGAGGCTCCATACATTGATCACTTGGCTGACATCATTGAGGCTCCATACATTGATCACTTGGCTGACATCATTGAGGCGCCATACATTGATCACTTGGTTGAAATCATTGAGGCTCCATACATTGATCACTTGGCTGACATCATTGAGTCTCCGTTACATTGATCACTTGGTTGACATCATTGAGGCGCCATACATTGATCACTTGGTTGAAATCATTGAGGCTCCATACATTGATCACTTGGCTGACATCATTGAGGTCTCCGTACATTGATCACTTGGTTGACATCATTGAGGCTGCGTACATTGATCACTTGGTTGACATCATTGAGGCTCCGTACATTGATCACTTGGTTGACATCATTGAGGCTCCATACATTGATCACTTGGTTGACATCATTGAGGCTCCATACATTGATCACTTGGTTGACATCATTGAGGCTCCATACATTGATCACTTGGTTGACATCATTGAGGCTCCATACATTGATCACTTGGCTGACATCATTGAGGCTCCATACATTGATCACTTGGTTGACATCATTGAGGCTCCATACATTGATCACTTGGTTGACATCATTGAGGCTCCATACATTGATCGCTTGGTTCATCATTGAGGCTCCATACATTGATCACTTGGTTGACATCATTGAGGCTCCATACATTGATCACTTGGTTGACATCATTGAGGCTCCATACATTGATCACTTGGTTGACATCATTGAGGCTCCATTACATTGATCACTTGGTTGACATCATTGAGGCTCCGTTACATTGATCACTTGGCTGACATCATTGAGGCTCCATACAGTGATCTGACATCATTGAGGCTCCATACATTGATCACTTGACATCATTGAGGCTCCATACATTGATCACTTGGTTGACATCATTGAGGCTCCATTACATTGATCACTTGGTTGACATCATTGAGGCTCCGTGACATTGATCACTTGGTTGACATCATTGAGGCTCCATACATTGATCACTTGGTTGACATCATTGAGGCTCCATACATTGACACTTTGACATCATTGACTTCCGTACATTGACATCATCATTGAGGCTCCATACATTGATCACTTGGTTGACATCATTGAGGCTCCATACATTGATCACTTGGTTGACATCATTGTTGAGGCTCCATACATTGATCACTTGGTTGACATCATTGAGGGCTCCATACATTGATCACTTGGTTGACATCATTGAGGCTCCGATACATTGATCACTTGGCTGACATCATTGAGGCTCCGTACATTGATCACTTGGTTGACATCATTGAGGCTCCATACATTGATCACTTGGTTGACATCATTGAGGCTCCATACATTGATCACTTGGTTGACATCATTGAGGCTCCATACATTGATCACTTGGCTGACATCATTGAGGCTCCATACATTGATCACTTGGTTGACATCATTGAGGCTCCATACATTGATCACTTGGCTGACATCATTGAGGCTCCATACATTGATCACTTGGTTGACATCATTGAGGCTCCATACATTGATCACTTGGTTGATATAATTGAGGCTCCATACATTGATAACTTGGTTGACATCATTAAGGCTCCATACACTGATCACTTGGCTGAAATTATTGAGGCTCCATCCATAGACTGCTGGGTATATGCCACTGTCAGACCGTGGGTAGATTACTGGGTATATGTCATTGTCAGACTGTGGGTAGATTACTGGGTATATGTCATTGTCAGACCGTGGGTGGATTACTGGGTAAATGCCATTGTCAGATCGTGTGTAGACTGCTTGGTATATGCCACTGTCAGACCGTGGGTAGATTACTGGGTATATGTCATTGTCAGACCGTGGGTAGATTACTGGGTATATGTCATTGTCAGACCGTGGGTGGATTACTGGGTATATGCCATTGTCAGATCGTGTGTAGACTACTGGGTATATGTCATTGTCAGATCGTGTGTAGACTACTGGGTATATGCCATTGTCAGATCGTGTGTAGACTACTGGGTATATGTCATTGTCAGATCGTGTGTTGACTACTGGGTATATGCCATTGTCAGATCGTGTGTAGACTACTGGGTATATGTCATTGTCAGACCGTGGGTAGATTACTGGGTATATGTCATTGTCAGATCGTGTAGACCCATTGTCAGATCGTGGGTAGGGTGGTATATGCCATTGTCAGATCGTGTGTAGACTACTGGGTATATGCCATTGTCAGATCGTGTGTAGACTACTGGGTATATGCCATTGTCAGACCGTGGATAGATTACTGGGTATATGTCATTGTCAGACCGTGATGGATTACTGGGTATATGCTATTGTCAGATCGTGTATAGACTACTGGGTATATGTCATTGTCAGATCGTGTGTAGACTACTGGGTATATGTCATTGTCAGATCGTGGGTGGATTACTGGGTATATGCCATTGTCAGATCGTGTGTTGACTACTGGGTATATGCCCAGTGAAGAAATTCAAGGACATTTTGCTTCAATTGAATATTAATGTTGTTCCATGTGTTTAGGTTGATTGAAGGTATGGTAATGTTTCTTTTTTACCTTAGTTTCTGCCACAATTACTTCCTCAAAGTCCAGTTAGGACACATGATATGCTGAAGAGTAATTAGTGCAGCATACAACAACAGGCTTCCCCTTGATGCGCATAAACAACAAAACTGCCACTCTTCTGACGCAATAAAATCGCTAATCAAAACCACACAATTCAGTGCTATAGGAAATTAATATAACTAAATTGATTTCTGATTTCAAACTGATTTGAAGGTACACACGTTGCATACACAAAGCGGACATCCATTTCTAAAGATAAATCTACGTCACTTAGGCGGGTCATTCATTTACATAAAGGTCTGTCTCATTTGCACAGAACCTGACTATATTTGGTTAGTGTTTCTCCAGTATTAATATATTAACGTTTTGATTGGATGACGGAATGACATGATTGAAGTGGTCCTATATTTATACACCTGTTACCTCTCGTATGGCTTTCGTCAGTCGCTATGGAAATTTGGACTTCGGGGATACGGGGTGATTAACATGGTTATACACACGTACAAATGTAAAGACATAATTATTAGCATTCGTTGATATTTATGAATTTTTGAAAGCTTAATTATTTTGAACACTGTTACCTCATCAAATGTAAATTAATCAGAAATATAGCTCATATCCATTTCAGAAGATTTTGTACGAGGCAAGCTGGGGTTTTCCAATATTATCTTCATATATTGAGAGTGTTTAATTGAATAGCAGTACCGTGTCACGTGATGTATGTCATCTATTTATTTTAAGACGAATAATCATCTGCTATACATGTACTGTCGTCTGCAATAATGGAGCCAAAAAAACAGCCTTCTTTACAAAAGCATTTTGGTACAAACCCTGTTGACAAGCCAGGCATGTCAACTGACAGTCCGATTGATGATGATGACTGCAATGACATACAAGGATTCTTCATTAAATTATTCAATTTCAAATGAAGCAAAGACGAAAGTAGCATGTAAATAATTGAGTGGCACTGTTACCTGTAAGTTGTCTGTAACCCTACCTGTACATCACACCAGGTGTGTGAAGTTCCCATCCAGCTCCTGTAGCAGTCACATTGTTGACTGTGTGACTGTGATCAGTTTTCTTGGCATAAATTAAATAAATAAATAAATAAATAAATAAATAAATAAACAAACAAAATAAATATATAAATAAATAAATATATAAGTGAAATCTTAGCTTTTGTGTAATCTTTATTTAGAAATTGGTTAACTTCTTTGCATTACTTGATTTGACTATTATTATTTATCAAACTGTCAAAGGGACATAATCCTTTAGAATTCACAGACTTAGAGGCATATACCTGAAAAAATAATTAGTAGTTGAAAATTGATTATCTTTGTAAATTGTTTGACCCCCAAATGTTTATTTTGACTCCCAAAAAAATGAACCTGACCCCCAAAATATAAATGTCGGGGGGGACCCCTGCAACAGCAGTGTGGATATTTTTTGTTTGGCCAGGAGCTGCGTGCTTTCAGATGTGCTTGTTTCACCCCTATGCAGTCAACCACGAATCCGGCTACATCACTTCCTGTGTGTCCAAACTAGAAGAGGAAGGCCCCAGCAGTTACCATGGTTACACAGATGTTTCAGAACACGTAGGAAAACAGATAAAGAAACAGTTGCTGCGACCACGTCAGCGACAGGAAGCCTGCTAAAACCGTTGTGCTTCTCAGTAGTGGTAAGATATGGTGAGAGTGGCTGTCAGTGTGTAGTGGGGATGGGACAGTGTGTCTTTATGTATGAATGGGTCAGTGTGTGATGGGGATGGGACAGTGTGTGATGGGAATGGGACAGTGTGTGATGGGGATGGGACAGTGTGTCTTTATGTATGAATGGGTCAGTGTGTGATGGGGATGGGACAGTGTGTCTTTATGTATGAATGGGACAGTGTGTGATGGGGATGGGACAGTGTGTCTTTATGTATGAATGGGACAGTGTGTGATGGGGATGGGACAGTGTGTCTTTATGTATGGGGATGGGACAGTGTGTGTGATGTATGGATGGGACAGTGTGTCTTTATGTATGAATGTATAGGAATGGACAGTGTGTGATGGGGATGGGACAGTGTGTGATGGGGATTACAGTGTGTCTTTATGTATGAATGGGACAGTGTGTGATGGGGATGGGACAGTGTGTCTTTATGTATGAATGGGACAGTGTGTGATGGGGATGGGACAGTGTGTCTTTATGTATGAATGGGACAGTGTGTGATGGGGATGGGACAGTGTGTCTTTATGTATGAATGGGACAGTGTGTGATGGGGATGGGACAGTGTGTCTTTATGTATGAATGGGACAGTGTGTGTGTGACATGTATGAATGGGACAGATGTGATTGGGAGTGTGTCTTTATGTATGAATGGGTCAGTGTGTGATGGGAATGGGACAGTGTGTCTTTATGTATGAATGGGACAGTGTGTGATGGGGATGGGACAGTGTGTCTTTATGTATGAATGGGACAGTGTGTGATGGGGATGGGACAGTGTGTCTTTATGTATGAATGGGACAGTGTGTGATGGGGATGGGACAGTGTGTCTTTATGTATGAATGGGACAGTGTGTGATGGGAATGGGACAGTGAGAGAAGGGGATGGGACAGTGTGTCTTTATGTATGAATGGGTCAGTGTGTGATGGGGATGGGACAGTGTGTGATGGGGATGGGACAGTGTGTCTTTATGGGAATGGGACAGTGTGTGATGGGGATGGGACAGTGTGTCTTTATGTATGAATAGGGACAGTGTGTGATAGGGATGGACAGTGTGTGTCTTTATGTATGAATGATCCAGTGTGTGATAGGGAGGACAGTGTGTCTTTATGTATATGAATGGGACAGTGTGTGATGGGGATGGGACAGTGTGTCTTTATGTATATGAATGGGACAGTGTGTGATGGGGAGATGGGACAGTGTGATGGGAATGGGACAGTGTGTCTTTATGTATGAATGGGTCCAGTGTGGAATGGGACAGATAGGGGATGGGACAGTGTGGATGGGACAGTGTGTCTTATGTATGAATGGGTCAGTGTGTGATGGGGAGGATGGGACAGTGTGTCTTTATGTATATGGGATATGGGACAGTGTGTGTGATAGGGATGGGACAGTGTGTCTTTATGTATGATGGGACAGTGTGTGATAGGGATGGGACAGTGTGTCTTTATGTATGAATAGGACAGTGTGTGATGGGGATGGGACAGTGTGTCTTTATGTATGAATACAGTGTGTGATAGGGGATGGGACAGTGTGTGTATAAGATAGGATAGTGATGGGGATGGGACAGTGTGTCTTTATGTATGAATAGGACAGTGTGTGATAGGGGATGGGACAGTGTGTCTTTATGTATGAATGGGTCAGTGTGTGATAGGGATGGGACAGTGTGTCTTTATGTATATAGATGGGGATGGGACAGTGTGTGATAGGGGATGGGACAGTGTGTCTTTATGTATGAATGGGACAGTGTGTGATGGGGATGGGACAGTGTGTCTTTATGTATATGAATGGGTCAGTGTGTGATGGGAATGGGACAGTGTGTCTTTATGTATGTATGGGAATGTGATAGGGGACAGTGTGTGTCTTTATGGGGATGGGACAGTGTGTCTTTATGTATAGATAGGTCATGTGGATGGGACAGTGTGTGATAGGGATGGGGGGGACAGTGTGTCTTTATGTATGAATGGGACAGTGTGTGATGGGGATGGGACAGTGTGTCTTTATGTATGAATATGTGTGATGGGGAGGGCATGTCCAGGGATGGGACAGTGTGTCTTTATGTATGAATAGGACAGTGGTGATGGGGATAGGACAGTGTGTCTTTTATGTATGAATGGGTCAGTGTGTGATGGGGATGGGACAGTGTGTGATATGTATGAATGGGACAGTGTGTCTTGATATGTATAGGACAGTGTGTCTTTATGTATAGAATGGGTCAGTGTGTGATAGGGGATGGGACAGTGTGTCTTTTATGTATGAATGGGACAGTGTGTGATAGGGATGGACAGTCAGTGTGGACAGTGATGATGGGGATGGGACAGTGTGTCTCTATGTATGAATGGGACAGTGTGTGATGATAGGGATGGGACAGTGTGTGATATGTATAGATGGGACAGTGTGTGATAGGGATAGGACAGTGTGGCATATGAATAGAAATTAGTAGAGCATAAGGGGCAGTAACTTATAGAGGTCCCTTACAGTGGGAGGTGGGGATAGAAAGTGGTGGGCATGGGGCAGTGTGTGGCTGAGGGGAGAGTGGTAGAGCATGGGGGCAATGCTTATCCCAGGGACCTTGCACAGTGGGTGGTAGAGCATGGGGCAATAACTTATCAGGGACCTTGCTGTGGGTGGTAGGCATGTGGCAGTAGCTTATTGGGACCTTGCAGTGGGTGGTGGGGATAGAAGTGGTGGGCATGGGGCAGTAACTTATCAGGGTCCTTACAGTGGGATGTAGGGATAGAGTGGTGGGCATGGGGCAGTGTGTGTGGGGAAAGTGGTAGAGCATGGGGGCAGTAACTTGCTCCAGGGACACTTACAGTGGGTGAGTTAGTGGGCATGGGGCAGTAACTTAGTGGGACCTTACAATTGGTGTTTGGTGGGCATGGGGGCATGGGGTGTGCTTATTAGGACCTTGCAGTGGGTGGTGGGCATGGGGCAGTAACTTATCAGGACCTTGCAGTGGGTGTGGTGGGCATGGGGGCAGTAACTTATTGGGACCTTGCAGTGGGTGGTGGGGATAGAGTGGTGGTCATGGGGCAATAACTAATCCAGGGACCTTACAGGGATGGAGTGAGTGGGCATGGGGCAGTAACTTATCGAGGTCCTTACAGTGCCAGGTAAGGCAGGGTGGTGGAGCATGGTGGCATGGGGCAACTTACTCATGGGACCTTACACAGTAGGTGGTGGTAGAGGAAAGCATGGGGTATGCTTGCTCAGGGACTGTGCAGTTGGAGGTTTGGATAGAGTGGTGGGCATGGGAAGTAGTAACTTATGAGGACTGTGCAGTTGGGAGGTTTGGATAAGAGTGAGGGTAGGCATGGGGCAGTAACTGCTCCAGACTGTTGCAGTGTGTGAGTGGGGATAGAGTGAGTGGGCATGGGGCAGTAACTCTCGGGGACCTTGCAGTGGGTGAGGTAGGGGGATAGAGTGGTGGGCATGGGGCAGTGGGTGGCAGGGGATAGAGTGTGGTGGGTATGGGGCAGTAACTTATCTGGATCTTGCAGTGGGTGGGTGGGGATAGAGTGGTGGAAGGCATGGGGCAGTGGCTGTATCGGGACCTTGCAGTGGTGTGGTGGTGAGGGATAGAGTGGTCATGGGAGGGCAGTGGGTGGCCAGCGGGGATAGAGTGGTATGGAGGTCCTTACAGTGGGGCAGTGGGGGATAGAAGTGAGTGATAGTCATGGGGCAGTGGGTGGCTGAGGAGATAGAAGTAAGTGGGTATGGGGCAGTATCTTATAGGGATCTTGCAGTGGAGGTGGTTGGGATAGAAGTGGTGGTCATGGGGCAGTATCTTACAAGGGATCTTACAGTGGGTGAAATTAGGGATAGAGTTGTGGGCATGGGGCAGTGGGTGGCCCGAGGAGGATAGAGTTGTGGGCATGGGGCAGTATCTTATCGGGATCTTGCAGTGGGTGGTGGGGATAGAGTGGTGGGCATGGGGCAGTAGCTTATCAGGACCTTGCTGTGTGTGGTGGGGATAGAGTCGTGGGCACGGGGCAGTGGGTGGCGGGGATAGAGTGGTGGGTATGGGGCAGTATCTTATCGGGATCTTGCAGTGGGTGGTGGGGATAGAGTGGTGGGCATGGGACAGTAACTTATCCGGACCTTGCAGTGTGTGGTGGGGATAGAGTGGTGGGCATGGGGCAGTAACTTATCGGGACCTTGCAGTGGGTGTGGTGGGGATAGAGTGGTGGACATGGGGTAGTAACTTATTAGGACTGTGCAGTTGGAGGTTTGGATAGAGTGGTGGGCATGGGGTAGTAACTTATCGGGCCGTTGCAGTGTGTGGTGTGGATAGAGTGGTGGGCATAGGGGTAGTAACATTGGGACTGTGCAGTGGGTGAGGTGGAGGGGATAGAGAAGTGGGAGGCATGGGGCAGTGGGTGGCGGGGATAGAGTGGTGGGTATGGGGCAGTAACTTATTGGGACCTTGCAGTGGATGGTGGGGATAGAGTGGTGGACGTGGGGCAGTAACTTTTCGGGACCTTGCAGTGGGTGGTGCGGCTAGAGTGGTAGGCATGGGGCAGTAACTTATCGGGACCTTGCAGTGGGTGGTGGGGATAGAGTGGTGGGCATGGGGCAGTAACTTATCGGGACCTTGCAGTGGGTGGTGGGGATAGAGTGGTGGGCATGGGGTAGTAACTTATAGGAACCTTGCAGTGAGTGGTGGGAATAGAGTGGTAGGCATGGGGCAGTAACTTATCGGGACTGTGCTGTGGGTGGTGGGCATGGGGCAGTAACTTATTGGGACCTTGCAGTGGGTGGTGGGCATGGGGCAGTAACTTATTGGGACCTTGCAGTGGGTGGTTGGGATAGAGTGGTGGTCATGGGGCAGTGGGTGGCGGGGATAGAGTGGTGGGTATGGGGCAGTATCTTATCGGGATCTTGCAGTGGGTGGTTAGGATAGAGTGAGTGGTCATGGAGGGGTATCTTATAGGGGATCTTATCCCGGGGATCTTGCAGTGGGTGGTTGAGGATAGAGTGGTGGTCATGGGGCAGTATCTTATCGGGATCTTACAGTGGGTGGTGGGGATAAAGTGGTGGGCATGGGGCAGTAGCTTATCAGGGCGATTGCTGTGTGGGCATAGGGGGCAGAGTCGTGGGCATGGGGCAGTGGCTTATCAGGGGGTTGCTGTGTGTGGTGGGGAGTGGGTGGGATAGGGGGTGGCGCTTATCGGGGCAGTGGGTGTGAGTGGGGATAGAGTGGTGGGCATGGGGCAGTAACTTATCGGGATGTTGCAGTGGGTGGTTGGGATAGAGTGGTGGTCATGGGGCAGTAACTTATCGGGATCTTGCAGTGGGTGGTGGGGATAGAGTGGTGGTCATGGTGCAGTAACTTATCGGGATCTTGCAGTGGGTGGTGGGGATAGAGTGGTGGGCATGGGGCAGTAACTTATGGGACCTTGCAGTGTGGTGGTGGGGATAGAGTGGTTGGCATGGGGATAGAGTGGTGCTTATGGGGGGATCTTGCAGTGGGGTGGTGGGGATAGAGTGGTGGGCATGGGGCAGTAACTTATCGGGACCTTGCAGTGTGTGGTGGGGATAGAGTGGTGGGCATGGGGCAGTAACTTATCGGGATCTTGCAGTGGGTGGTGGGGATAGAGTGGTGGGCATGGGGCAGTAACTTATCGGGACCTTGCAGTGGGTGGTGGGGATAGAGCTGTGGGCATGGGGCAGTAACTTATCGGGATCTTGCAGTGGGTGGTGGGGATAGAGTGGTGGGCATGGGGCAGTTTACTCGGGACCTTACAGTGTGTGGTGGGGATAGAGTGGTGAGCATGGGGCAGTAACTATCGGGTCCTTGCAGTGGGGTGTGTAAGGGATAGAGTGGTGGGCATGGGGCAGTAACTTATCGGGGACCTTGCAGTGGGATGGTGGGGATAGAGTGGTGGGCATGGGGCAGTAACTTTTCGAGGGACCTTGCAGTGGGTGGTGGGGATAGAGTGGTAGGCATGGGGCAGTAACTTATCCGGGACCTTGCAGTGGGTGGGATAGAGGGATAGAGTGGTGGGCATGGGGCAGTAACTTATCGGGACCTTGCAGTGGTGGGTGGCGGGGGATAGAGTGAGTGGGCATGGGGCAGTAACTTATAGGAACCTTGCAGTGTGGTGGGGATAGAGTGGTGGGCATGGGGCAGTAACTTATCGGGACTTGCTGTGGGTGGGATAGAAGTGGTGGGCATGGGGCAGTGTTACTTATCAGGACTGTGCAGTGGGTGGTGGGGATAGAGTGGTGGGCATGGGGCAGTTACTTATCGGGACCTTGCAGTGTGTGTTGGGGATAGAGTGGTGGGCATGGGGCAGTAACTTATCGGGACCTTTCAGTGTGTGGTGGGGATAGAGTGGTGGGCATGGGGTAGTAACTTATCGGGACCTTGCAGTGGGTGGTGGGGATAGAGTGGTGGGCATGGGGCAGTAACTTATCGGTACTGTACTTTTGGTTGCGGGGATAGAGTGGTGGGCATGGGGTAGTAACTTATCGGGACCTTGCAGTTGGTGGCGGAGATAGAGTGTTCATTATGGGACAGTAACTTATCAGGACTGTGCTGTGGGTGGTGGGGATAGAGTGGTGGGCATGGGGCAGTAACTTATCGGGACCTTGCAGTGTGTGGTGGGGATAGAGTGGTGGGCATGGGGCAGTAACTTATCGGTACCTTGCAGTTGGTGGCGGAGATAGAGTGTTCATTATGGGACAGTAACTTATCAGGACTGTGCTGTGGGTGGTGGGGATAGAGTGGTGGGCATGGGGCAGTAACTTATCGGGACCTTGCAGTGGGTGGTGGGGATAGAGTGGTGGGCATGGGGCAGTAACTTATCGGGACCTTGCAGTGGGTGGGGGGATAGAGTGGTGGGCATGGGGCAGTAACTTATCGGGACTCTTGCAGTGGGTGGTGGGGATAGAGTGGTGGGCATGGGGCAGTAACTTATCGGGACCTTGCAGTGGGTGGTGGGGATAGAGTGGTGGGCATGGGGCAGTAACTTATCGGGACTGTGCAGTGGGTGGTGGGGATAGAGTGGTGGGCATGGGGCAGTAACTTATCGGGACCTTGCAGTGGGTGTTGGGGATAGAGTGGTGGGCATGGGGCAGTAACTTATCTGGACCTTCCAGTGTGTACATGCCGTATCTCCACATTGTTTTTTTTTATGCCATACTGTTCTTTACTTATGCTATTGTTTTCTTGTGTTGCAGGTTTGTGGGGCCAGTTTCACTGGGGCAATGGTCTGGCAGTATGAGACTCTCCGCTACTATGCCAGGCGGCTTCATAATGATGGGAACAGAAAGAACTTAGATGCAGCACTGGCAAAGAGTTTTGGATTCCGAGCTCATGTATCTATGTTTACTTTAATGTTACTTCTTACTTCCACCACATCTACACCATCACACCTGCTGCCACCCCGACAACCAAAATCACCAACAGCATGTCCATCAAGCGTCATCAGTATACCACACCACTAGCATCCCCATCCCCACCGACACCATCTACACCACCACCAGTATCACCCACTAACACCGCGGACCACCATCCCCACCACCAGTATCACCCACTAACACCACCGACACCATCTACACCACCACCAGTATCACCCACTAACACCACCGACACCATCTACACCACCACCAGTATCACCCACTAACACCACCGACACCATCTACACCACCACCAGTATCACCAACTAACACCACCATCTACACCACCAGTATCACCCCACTAACACCACCGACACCATCTGCACCACCACCAGTATCACCCACTAACACCACGACACCATCGACACCATCTACACCACCACCAGTATCACCCACTAACACCACGACACCATCTACACCACCACCGGTATCACCCACTAAACACCACCCATCTATCCACACCATTCTACACCAACACCACCACCACCACTATCTACACCACCACCAGTATCACCCACACACCACCGACATATCTACACCACCACCAGTATCAACTAACACCACCGACACCATCTACACCACCACCAGTATCACCCACTAACACCACCGACACCATCTACACCACCACCAGGTATCACCCACTAACACCACCGACACCATCTACACCACCACCAGTATCACCCATTAACACCACCGACACCATCTACACCACCACCCATATCACCCACTAACACCACCGACACCATCTACACCACCACCCGTATCACCCACTAACACCACTGACACAATCTACACCACCCCAATTATCACCCACTAACACCACCGACACCATCTGCACCACCACCAGTATCACCCACTAACACCACCGACACCATCTACATCACCACCAGTATCACCCACTAACACCACCGACACCATCTAAACCACCACCTTCACCCACTTACAACACTATCACCCACTAACACCACCGACACCATCTACACCACCACCATTATCACCCACCACTAACACCACCGACACCATCTACACCACCACCAGTATCACCCACTAACACCACTGACACCATCTACACCACCACCTGTATCACCCACTAACACCACCCGACACCATCTACACCACCACCAGTATCACCACCACTGACACCATCTACACCACCAGTATCACCCACTAACACCACCGACACCATCTACACCACCACCAGTATCACCCACAAACACCACCGACACCATCTACACCACCACCAGTATCACCCACTAACACCACTGACACCATCTACACCACCACCAGTATCACCCACTAACACCACCGACACCATCTACACCACCACCAGTATCACCCACTAACACCACCGACACCATCTACACCACCACCAGTATCACCCACTAACACCACCGACACCATCTACACCACCACCAGTATCACCCACTAACACCACCGACACCATCTACACCACCACCAGTATCACCCACTAACACCACCGACACCATCTACACCACCACCAGTATCACTCACTAACACCACCGACACGATCTACACCACCACCAGTATCACCCACAAACACCACCGACACCATCTACACCACCACCCGTATCACCCACTAACACCACCGACACCATCTACACCACCACCTGTATCACCCACTAACACCACCAACACCATCTACACCACCACCCGTATCACCAACTGACACCATCTACACCACCAGTATCACCCACTAACACCACCGACACCATCTGCACCACCACCAGTATCACCCACAAACACCACCGACACCATCTACACCACCAGTATCACCCACTAACACCACCGACACCATCTACACCACCACCTACACCACCAGTACCACCCACTAACACCACCGACACCAACTACACCACCACCATCTAAGTGTTGTTTAAAGTAGACCGACTTTCACTCAACCATAATCCTCTGTCCTATGTTTGTTTCAGCTCAACTCTATCTGGACTAACTTCAGCCCTGGTCAGAAAGTTGTATTGGGTGTGGTTGCATCCAATATCGGTGTGTTCCTACTCTGGAGGATCCCATCTCTAACTCCCATACTGATGAAATACTTTTCTTCTGCTCCAGGTTTGTAAAAACTAAGGTTAACTACAGCACTGCACTCCCTTCCTCTCCCTTCCGTGATACTGAGTGTATTGTTTCAGGTAGATCCCTTCCCTCCATGATACTGAGTGTATTGTTTCAGGTAGACCCCTTCCCTCTATGATACTGAGTCTTTTGTTTCAGGTAGACCCCTTCCCTCTATGATACTGAGTGCATTCAGCCACTTCAGCTTCCTGCATCTTGCAGCCAATATGTATGTGCTGTGGTCATTTTCATCTATCTCACTTGACCTATTTGGGAAGGAGCAACTGTCAGCCGTCTACCTGAGTGCAGGTCAGTGTTGTGAATTGTCAGCGGTCTACCTGAGTGCAGGTCAGTGTTGTAAATGGTCAGCTGTCTACCTGAGTGCAGGTAGGTGTTGTAAATGGTCAGGTGTCTACCTGAGTGCAGGTCAGTGTTGTAAATGGTCAGGTGTCTACCTGAGTGCAGGTCAGTGTTGTAAATGGTCAGCTGTCTACCTGAGTGCAGGTAGGTGTTGTAAATGGTCAGGTGTCTACCTGAGTGCAGGTCAGTGTTGTAAATGGTCAGGTGTCTACCTGAGTGCAGGTCAGTGTTGTAAATGGTCAGCTGTCTACCTGAGTGCAGGTAGGTGTTGTAAATGGTCAGGTGTCTACCTGAGTGCAGGTAGGTGTTGTAAATGGTCAGGTGTCTACCTGAGTGCAACTGTCTACTGTTTAGTGTCAGTACATGATTTTATTATCTTCAGTTTTCAGTGTAAAGTTTCAGAGACTTTTGTAAGTCAACAGCTTTTTGTCCCCTGTCATTTCAGCTGCAGTGTCTTCTTTTGCAAGCACTGTTCACAAAGTCCTAAGAGGTCGACCAGTTCCATCTCTTGGAGCAGTGAGTGTTCTCATACTTCCAGTGCTTTGTGTCAGTAGGGTGGTGGTGTACTGTGTGTCAGTGGTGGTGTACTGTGTGTCTGTAGGGAGGTGGTGTACTGTGTGTCAGTAGGGTGGTGGTGTACTGTGTGTCAGTAGGGTGGTGGTGTACTGTGTGTCAGTAGGGAGGTGGTGTACTGTGTGTCAGTAGGGTGGTGGTGTACTGTGTGTCAGTAGGGTGGTGGTGTACTGTGTGTCAGTAGGGAGGTGGTGTACTGTGTGTCAGTAGGGTGGTGGTGTACTGTGTGTCAGTAGGGTGGTGGTGTACTGTGTGTCAGTAGGGTGGTGGTGTACTGTGTGTCAGTAGGGTGGTGGTGTACTGTGTGTCAGTAGGGAGGTGGTGTACTGTGTGTCAGTAGGGTGGTGGTGTACTGTGTGTCAGTAGGGAGGTGGTGTACTCTGTGTCAGTAGGGAGGTGGTGTACTGTGTGTCAGTAGGGAGGTGGTGTACTGTGTGTCAGTAGGGTGGTTGTGTACTGTGTGTCAGTAGGGAGGTGGTGCACTGTGTGTCAGTAGGGAGGTGGTGTACTGTGTGTCAGTAGGGAGGTGGTGTACTGTGTGTCAGTAGGGTGGTTGTCTACTGTGTGTCAGTAGGGAGGTGATGTACTGTGTGTCAGTAGGGTGGTGGTGTACTGTGTGTCAGTAGGGAGGTGGTGTACTGTGTGTCAGTAGGGAGGTGGTGTACTGTGTGTCAGTAGGGAGGTGGTGTACTGTGTGTCAGTAGGGAGGTGGTGTACTGTGTGTCAGTAGGGTTGTGGTGTACTGTGTGTCAGTAGGGTGGTGGTGTACTGAGTGTCAGTAGGGTGGTGGTGTACTGTGTGTCAGTAGGGTGGTGGTGTACTGTGTGTCAGTAGGGCGGTGGTCTACTGAGTGTCAGTAGGAAGGTGGTCTACTGCGTATCAGTAGGGAGGTGGTGTACTGTGTGTCAGTAGGGTTGTGGTGTACTGTGTGTCAGTAGGGAGGTGGTGTACTGAGTGTCAGTAGGGTGGTGATGTACTGTGTGTCAGTAGGGTGGTGGTGTACTGTGTGTCAGTAGGGAGGTGGTGTACTGTGTGTCAGTAGGGAGGTGATGTACTGTGTGTCAGTAGGGTGGTGGTCTACTGTGTGTCAGTAGGGTGGTGGTGTACTGTGTGTCAGTAGGGTGGTGGTGTACTGTGTGTCAGTAGGGTGGTGGTGTACTGTGTGTCAGTAGGGAGGTGGTGTACTGTGCTGTAGGGTGGTGGTGTACTGTGTGTCAGTAGGGAGGTGGTGTACTGTGTGTCCAGTAGAGAAGTGGTGTACTGTGTGTCAGTAGGGAAGTGGTGTACTGTGTGTAGGAAGTTGGTGTGTGTGTCAGTAGGAGGTGGTGTACTGTGTGTCAGTAGAGTAGGTGGTGGTGTACTGTGTGTCAGTAGGGAGGTGATGTACTGTGTGTCAGTAGGGAGGTGATGTACTGTGTGTCAGTAGGGTGGTTGTCTACTGTGTGTCAGTAGGAAGGTGATGTACTATGTGTGTCAGTAGAGAAGGTGGTGTACTGTGTGTCAGTAGGGTAGTAAGTTACTACTGTGTGTCAGTAGGAATTGGTGGTGTACTGTGTGTCAGTAGGGTGGTGGTATCCTGTGTGTCAGTAGGGAGGTGGTGTACTGTGTGTCAGTAGGGTGGTGGTATCCTGTGTGTCCAGTAGGTGGTGGTGTACTATGTGTAGTAGGGTGGTGGTCTACTGTGTGTCAGTAGGAAGTGATTATGTACTGTGTGTGTCAGTAGGAAGTGATGTACTGTGTGTCAATAGGATGGATATAGTATGTATTAGTGTCCAGTAGGGAAGTGATGTACTGTGTGTCCAGTAGAAGGTGGTGTACTACTATGTGTCAGTAGAATTAGTGGTGTACTGTGTGTCAGTAGGGAAGGTGGATATGTACTGAGTGTCAGTAGGAGGTGATAATACTGTGTGTCAGTAGAAGGTGGTGTACTGTGTGTCAGTAGGGTGGTTGTGTACTGTGTGTCAGTAGGATGGTGGTCTACTGTGTGTCAGTAGGGAAGTGATACTGTGTGTCAGTAGGGAAGTGATGTACTGTGTGTCAGTAGGAATTGGTGATGTACTACTGTGTCAGTGGGGTGGTGGTGTACTGTGTGTCAGTAGGGTGGTTGTCTACTGTGTGTCAATCAGGAGTGATGTACTGTGTCCAGTAGGGTGGTGGTGTACTGTGTGTCAGTAGGAAGTGATGTACTGTGTGTCCAGTAGGAGTGGTGGTGTACTACTATGTGTCAGTAGGAGTGGTGGTGTACTGAAGTGTCAGTAAATTGGTTGTCTACTGTGTGTCAATGCAGGAAGTGATATACTATGTGTCCAGTAGAGGTGGTGGTGTACTGTGTGTCAGTAGGGAAGTGATATACTGTGTGTCCAGTAGGGTAAGTAGGAAAAGTGTACTGTGTGTCCAGTAGAATTGGTGGTGTACTAGTGTCAGTAGGAAGGTGGTGTACTGTGTGTCAGTAGGAGAGTGAGTGTACTGTGTATCCAGTAGGGTGGTGGTATCCTGTGTGTCAGTAGGGTGGTGGTGTACTGAGTGTCAGTAGGGTGGTGGTGTACTGTGTGTCAGTAGGGTGGTGGTGTACTGTGTGTCAGTAGGGAGGTGGTGTACTGTGCTGTAGGGTGGTGGTGTACTGTGTGTCAGTAGGGAGGTGGTGTACTGTGTGTCAGTAGAGAAGTGGTGTACTGTGTGTCAGTAGGGAGGTGGTGTACTGTGTGTCAATAGGGTGGTGGTGTACTGTGTGTCAGTAGGGAGGTGGTGTACTGTGTGTCAGTAGGGTGGTGGTGTACTGTGTGTCAGTAGGGAGGTGATGTACTGTGTGTCAGTAGGGAGGTGATGTACTGTGTGTCAGTAGGGTGGTTGTCTACTGTGTGTCAGTAGGGAAGTGATATACTACTGTGTCCAGTAGAGAGGTGGTGTACTGTGTGTCCAGTAGGAGTGAGTGGTGTACTGTGTGTCAGTAGAGGTGAGTGGTGTACTGTGTGTCCAGTCAGTGGTGGTATCCTGTGTGTCCAGTAGGGAGGTGGTGTACTGTGTGTCAGTAGGGTGGTGGTATCCTGTGTGTCAGTAGGGAAGTGGTGTACTGTGTGTCAGTAGGGTGGTGGTCTACTGTGTGTCAGTAGGGAGGTGATGTACTGTGTGTCAGTAGGAGGTGATATACTGTGTGTCAATAGGATGGATATGTACTGAGTGTCCAGTAGGGAAGTGATATACTGTGTGTCCAGTAGAAGGTGGTGTACTGTGTGTCAGTAGAGTGGTGGTGTACTGTGTGTCAGTAGGGTGGATATGTACTGAGTGTCAGTAGGGAGGTGATGTACTGTGTGTCAGTAGAGAGGTGGTGTACTGTGTGTCAGTAGGGTGGTTGTGTACTGTGTGTGAGTAGGATGGTGGTCTACTGTGTGTCAGTAGGGAGGTGATGTACTGTGTGTCAGTAGGGAGGTGATGTACTGTGTGTCAGTAGGGTGGTGATGTACTACTGTGTGTCAGTAGGGTGGTGGTGTACTGTGTGTCAGTAGGGTGGTTGTCTACTGTGTGTCAGTACGGAGGTGATGTACTGTGTGTCAGTAGGGTGGTGGTGTACTGTGTGTCAGTAGGGAGGTGATGTACTGTGTGTCAGTAGGGTGGTGGTGTACTGTGTGTCAGTAGGGTGGTGGTGTACTGAGTGTCAGTAGGGAGGTGGTGTACTGTGTGTCAGTAGGGAGGTGGTGTACTGTGTGTCAGTAGGGTGGTGGTATCCTGTGTGTCAGTAGGGAGGTGGTGTACTGTGTGTCTAGTAGGGTGGTGGTATCCTGTGTGTCAGTAGGGAAGTGGTGTACTGTGTGTCAGTAGGGTGGTTGTCTACTGTGTGTCAGTAGGGAGGTGATGTACTGTGTGTCAGTAGGGAGGTGATGTACTGTGTGTCAGTAGGGTGGATATGTACTGAGTGTCAGTAGGGAGGTGATGTACTGTGTGTCAGTAGAGAGGTGGTGTACTGTGTGTCAGTAGGGTGGTGGTGTACTGTGTGTCAGTAGGGTGGATATGTACTGAGTGTCAGTAGGGAGGTGATGTACTGTGTGTCAGTAGAGAGGTGGTGTACTGTGTGTCAGTAGGGTGGTGGTGTACTGTGTGTCAGTAGGGTGGTGGTCTACTGTGTGTCAGTAGGGGAGGTGAGTAGTGAGGGTGATGTACTGTGTGTCAGTAGGAGGTGATATACTGTGTGTCAGTAGGGGTAGTGATGTACTGTGTGTCAGTAGGGTGGTTGTCTACTGTGTGTCAGTGGGAGGTGGTATCCTGTGTCAGTAGGGAGGTGGTGTACTGTGTGTCAGTAGGGTGGTGGTGGTATGTACTGTGTGTCAGTAGGGAGGTGGTGTACTGTGTGTCAGTAGGGTGGTGGTCTACTGTGTGTCAGTAGGAAGGTGATGTACTGTGTGTCAGTAGGAAGGAGGTGATGTGTACAGGAAGTGGGTGTGTGTGTCAGTAGGGATGGATATGTACTGATAGTGTCAGTAGGGAGGTGATATACTGTGTGTCAGTAGAAGGTGGTGTACTGTGTGTCAGTAGGGTGGTGAATTGTACTGTGTGTCAGTAGGAGGTGGTGTACTGAGTGTCAGTAGGGAGGTGGTGTACTGTGTGTCAGTAGGGAGGTGGTGTACTGTGTGTCAGTAGGGAGGGTGGTGGTGTACTGTGTGTCAGTAGGATGGTGGTCTACTGTGTGTCAGTAGGGAGGTGATGTACTGTGTGTCAGTAGGGAGGTGATGTACTGTGTGTCAGTAGGGTGGTGATGTACTGTGTGTCAGTAGGGTGGTGGTGTACTGTGTGTCAGTAGGGTGGTTGTCTACTGTGTGTCAATAGGGAGGTGATGTACTGGAGTCAGTAGGGTGGTGGTGTACTGTGTGTCAGTAGGAAGTGAGTGTACTGAGTGTCAGTAGGGTAGGGTACTGTGTGTCCAGTAGAATTGGTGGTGTACTGTGTGTCAGTGAGGTGTGGTGTACTGAGTGTCAGTAGGGAGAGTGGTGTACTGTGTGTCCCAGTAGGAAGTGAAATTGTACTGTGTGTCCAGTAGGGTGGTGGTATCCTGTGTGTCAGTAGGGAAGTGTGGTGTACTGTGTGTCTGTAGGGTGGTGGTATCCTGTGTATAGTAAAGTGGTGTACTGTGTGTCCAGTAGGGTGGAAGTTGTCTACTGTGTGTCAGTAGGAGGAGTGATATGTACTGTGTGTCAGTAGAGGTGATGTACTGTGTGTCCAGTGTGGATATGTACTGTGTCAGTAGGGAAGTGATGTACTGTGTGTCAGTAGAGGTGAAAGTGTACTACTATGTGTCCAGTAGGAGTGGTGGTGTACTGTGTGTCAGTAGGGTGGATATGTACTGTGTGTCAGTAGGAAGGTGATGTACTGTGTGTCAGTAGAGAGTGTGGTGTACTGTGTGTCAGTAGGATGGAGTGGTGTACTATGTGTCCAGTAGGGTGGTAGGTGCACTGTGTGTCAGTAGGGAAAGTGATGTACTGTGTGTCCAGTAGGAAGTGATGTACTGTGTGTCAGTAGGAGTAGTGATGTACTGTGTGTCAGTAGGGTGGTTGTCTACTGTGTGTCAGTAGGAAGTGATGTACTGTGTGTCAGTAGGGTGGATATGTACTGAGTGTCAGTAGGAAGTGGTGTACTAGTGTCAGTAGGGAAGTGATAATACTGTGTGTCAGTAAGGTGGTAAGTGTGTACTGTGTGTCAGTAGGGTGGTGGTGTACTACTAAGTGTCCAGTAGGGTGGTGGTGTACTGAAGTGTCAGTAGGGAAGTGATGTACTGTGTGCCAGTAGGGTGGTGGTGTACTGTGTGTCAGTAGGGTGGTGGTATCCTGTGTGTCAGTAGGGAGGTGGTGCACTGTGTGTCAGTAGGGAAGTGGTGTACTGTGTGTCAGTAGGGAGGTGGTGTACTGTGTGTCAGTAGGGAGGTGGTGTCCTGTGTGTCAGTAGGGAGGTGGTGTACTGTGTGTCAGTAGGGTGGTGATGTACTGTGTGTCAGTAGGGAGGTGGTGTACTGTGTGTCAGTAGGGAGGTGGTGTACTGTGTGTCGGTACGGAGGTGGTGTACTGTGTGTCAGTAGGGAGGTGGTGTACTGTGTGTCAGTAGGGAGGTGGTGTACTGTGTGTCAGTAGGGAGGTGGTGTACTATGTGTCAGTAGGGAGGTGGTGTACTGTGTGTCTGTAGGTTCTTAATGTTATTTCAAATACAGATCATTCTTAAGTTTTATTGGTCAGGTGATCCCGCTTTTCCTTGTGCGTGATACCTTACACCAAATAAGAAATGTAAAGGGTATCGCAAGGCCACTATTTTTAGCATGTTTTTTTCTGAAACTGCATATTTTTTATTTGACACCTCAGTGTGAAGACGTAATATGTTTTGAGGAGAAATAAAATTGACCCTAAGTTGAAAATTAATTTTATAATTTGCCGGACATGATGACAGACAGCTTTTGAAATTACCGGACATTCTAATCCCGTATATACCAGATAGTGGAAACACTTGGTTGAATCAAGTCCATATTCTGGTGTTGTGAGCGACCTCCATTGGTTGTGCGAGTTCCATCTGTAGGGGCCTTGTACACTGTCTTGTCACAAGTAGACCAGTTGGTTGAGGGGAAATTAAATGAGATCCATTATCGCATCAAGATCATGCATATATACTGCAACATGTAATTGTTTCAGTCTGGAGCATTGATGGCAGTTCTGGGAGCTGTTTGTATCTCCTACCCTGATGCCAGGCTCAGTATCGCATTCCTCGGGGAGATTGTGCCTCACTCATTCTCAGCTAGTAATGTAAGTACATCATGTCAGAGTTGGTGGGAGATTGTGCCTCACTCATTCTCAGCTAGTAATGTAAGTACATCATGTCAGAGTTGGTGGGAGATTGTGCCTCACTCATTCTCAGCTAGTAATGTAAGTACATCATGTCAGAGTTGGTGGGAGATTGTGCCACACTCATTCTCAGCTAGTAATGTAAGTACATCTTGTCAGGGTTGGTGGGAGATTGTGCCACACTCATTCTCAGCTATCTTGTAATGTAAGTACATCTCATGTAATGTAAGTAGAGTTGGTGGGAGATTGTGCCACACTCATTCTCAGCTAATGTAATGTAAGTACATCTTGTCAGGGGTTGGTGGGAGATTGTGCCACACTCATTCTCAGCTAGTAGTAATGTAAGTACATCTAATGTCAGGGTTGGTGGGTGGGTGATTGTGCCACACTCATTCTCAGCTAAGTAATGTAAGTACATCATGTCAGGGTTGGTGGGAGATTGTGCCACACACTCATTCTCAGCTAGTAATGTAAGTACATCATGTGATTGTGCCACACTCATTCTCAGGGTTGGTGGGAGGTGTGCCACACTCATTCTCAGCTAAGTAATGTAAATAGTACATCATGTCAGGGTTGGTGGGAGGATTGTGCCACACTCATTTCTCAGCTAGTAATGTGTAAGTACATCATGTCAGGGTTGGTGGGAGATTGTGCCACACTCATTCTCAGCTAGTAATGTAAGTACATCTTGTCAGGGTTGGTGGGAGATTGTGCCACACTCATTCTCAGCTAGTAATGTAAGTACATCATGTCAGAGTTGGTGGGAGATTGTGCCACACTCATTCTCAGCTAGTAATGTAAGTACATCTTGTGAGGGTTGGTGGGAGATTGTGCCACACTCATTCTCAGCTAGTAATGTAAGTACATCATGTCAGAGTTGGTGGGAGATTGTGCCACACTCATTCTCAGCTAGTAATGTAAGTACATCTTGTGAGGGTTGGTGGGTGATTGTGCCACACTCATTCTCAGCTAGTAATGTAAGTACATCATGTGAGGGTTGGTGGGAGATTGTGCCACACTCATTCTCAGCTAGTAATGTAAGTACATCATGTCAGGAGTTGGTGGGAGATTGTGCCTCACTCATTCTCAGCTAGTAATGTTAGTACATCATGTGAGGGTTGGTGGGAGATTGTGCCACACTCATTTCTCAGCTAGTAATGTAAGTGTCAAGAGTTGGTGGGTGATTTGCCACTCATTCTCAGCTTGTCAGGGTTGGTGGGAGATTGTGCCTCACTCATTCTCAGCTAGTAATGTAAGTACATCTTGTGAGGGTTGGTGGAGGATTGTGCCACACTCATTCTCAGCTAGTAATGTAAGTACATCATGTGAGGGTTGGTGGAGGATTGTGCCACACTCATTCTCAGCTAGTAATGTAAAGTACATCATCTGAGGGTTGGTGGGGGATTGTGCCACACTCATTCTCAGCTAGTAATGTAAGTTCATCTTGTCAGGGTTGGTGGGAGATTGTGGTGTGCCACACTCATTCTCAGGTAGTAATGTAAGTACATCATGTCAGAGTTGGTGGGAGATTGTGCCACACTCATTCTCAGCTAGTAATGTAAGTACATCATGTGAGGGTTGGTGGGTGATTGTGCCACACTCATTCTAAGCTAGTAATGTAAGTACACCATGTGAGGGGTTGGTGGTACATCATGTGATTGTGCCATACTCATTCTCAGCTGGTAATGTAAGTACATCTTGTCAGGGTTGGTGGGAGATTGTGCCTCACTCATTCTCAGCTAGTAATGTAAGTAATCATGTCAGGAGGTTGAGTGGGTGATTGTACATCTTGTGATCATGGGTTGGTGGAGGATTGTGCATTACTCATTCTCAGCTAGTAATGTAAGTACATCATGTGAGGGTTGGTGGAGGATTGTGCCACACTCATTCTCAGGTAGTAATGTAAGTACATCATCTGAGGGTTGGTGGGGGATTGTGCCACACTCATTCTCAGCTAGTAATGTAAGTACATCTTGTCAGGGTTAGTGGGAGGTGTGCCACACTCATTCTCAGCTAGTAATGTAAGTACATCATGTGAGGCTTGGTGGGTGATTGTGCCATACTCATTCTCAGCTGGTAATGTAAGTACATCTTGTCAGGGTTGGTGGGAGATTGTGCCTCCTCATTCTCAGCTAGTAATGTAAAGTACATCTTGTGAGGGTTGGTGGAGGATTGTGCATTACTCATTCTCAGCTAGTAATGTAAGTACATCATGTGAGGGTTGGTGGAGGATTGTGCCACACTCATTCTCAGCTAGTAATGTAAGTACATCATCTGAGGGTTGGTGGGGGATTGTGCCACACTCATTTCTCAGCTAGTAATGTAAGTACATCTTGTCAGGGTTAGTGGGAGATTGTGCCACACTCATTCTCAGCTAGTAATGTAAGTACATCATGTGAGGGTTGGTGGGGGATGGTGCCACACTCATTCTCAGCTAGTAATGTAAGTACATCATGTGAGGGTTGGTGGTGGAGGATTGTGCCACACTCATTCTCAGCTAGTAATGTAAGTACATCTTGTCAGGGTTGGTGGGTGATTGTGCCACACTCATTCTCAGCTAGTAATGTAAGTACATTATGTAAGGGTTGGTGGGTGATTGTGCCTCACTCATTCTCAGCTAGTAATGTAAGTACATCTTGTCAGGGTTGGTGGAGGGATTGTGCCACACTCATTTTCAGCTAGTAATGTAAGTACATCTTGTCAGGGTTGGTGGGTGATTGTGCCACACTCATTCTCAGCTAGTAATGTAAGTACATTATGTAAGGGTTGGTGGGTGATTGTGCCTCACTCATTCTCAGCTAGTAATGTAAGTACATCATGTGAGGGTTGGTGGGAGATTGTGCCTCACTCATTTCTCAGCTAGTAATGTAAAGTACATCATGTGAGGGTTGGTGGGAGATTGTGCCTCACTCATTCTCAGCTTGTAATGTAAGTACATCTTATCCAGGGTTAGTGGGAGATTGTGCCACACTCATTCTCAGCTAGTAATGTAAGTACATCATGTGAGGGTTGGTGGGAGATTGTGCCACACTCATTCTCAGCTAGTAATGTAAGTACATCATGTGAGAGTTGGTGGGAGATTGTGCCTCACTCATTCTCAGCTAGTAATGTAAAGTACATCTTGTCAGGGTTAGTGGGAGATTGTGCCACACTCATTCTCAGCTAGTAATGTAAATTACATCATGTGAGGGTTGGTGGGAGATTGTGCCACACTCATTCTCAGCTAGTAATGTAAGTACATCATGTGAGAGTTGGTGGGAGATTGTGCCTCACTCATTCTCAGCTAGTAATGTAAGTACATCTTGTCAGGGTTAGTGGGAGATTGTGCCACACTCATTCTCAGCTAGTAATGTAAGTACATCTTGTCAGGGTTGGTGGGAGATTGTGCCATACTCATTCTCAGCTAATAATGTGAATACATGACCTACACACACTGGATCTGATGGACAGACTTTCACCCTGTATATAACATATACATTAGATAAACTTATTAGTAACATTCTTTATTGTGTTGTTGCTTTAGGCATTAACTAGATGTCGTCCTCGGCGTTGTTGGACTTCTCTTGGGCTGAAGCATGTTCGACCATGCTGCTCATCTGGGAGGAATGTTGTTTGGATTATGAAGATTACATGGTCTACTCTGGTGTGTCAGTAGGGAGGTGGTCTACTCTAGTGTGTGTCAGTAGGGAGGTGGTGTACAAATGTGAAGTCTACTCTGGTGTGTCAGTCAGTAGGGAGGTGGTGTACATGGTGTGTGTCAGTAGGGTGGTGGTCTACTCTGGTGTAGTGTCAGTAGGAGGTGGTGTACATGGTGTGTGTCAGTAGGGTGTAGTGGTGTACATGGTGTGTCAGTAGGGAGGTGGTGTACATGGGTGTGCCAGTAGTTAGGTAGTGTACATGGTGTGTCCAGTAGGAGGTGGTGTACATGGTGTGTCCCAGTAGGGTTTTGGGTGTGTCAGTAGGAGGTGAGTGATGTACATGGTGTGTCAGTAGGAGGTCATGTACATGGTGTGTAATCAATAGGGAGGTGGATTGTACATGGTGTGTCAGTAGGAGATGATGTACATGGTGTGTCAGTAGGGAGATGGTGTACATGGTTTATCAGTAGGAAGGAAATTGGTGTACATGGTGTTTCAGTAGGGTTTTGGTGTGTGTGTCAGTAGGGGAAATGATTGTACATGGTGTGTCAGTAGAGAAGTGGTGTACATGGTGTGTCAGTAGGGAGATGGTGTACATGGTGTGTCCAGTAGGGAGGTGGTGTACATGATGTTTCAGTGAGGTGGTGGTGGTGTGTCATTAGGAGGTGGTGTACATGGTGTGTCAGTAGGGAGGTGGGTGTGTGTCCAGTAGGGAGGTGGTGTACATGGTGTGTCAGTAGGAGATGGTGTACATGGTGTATCAGTAGGGAGGTGGTGTACATGATGTTTCAGTAGAGTGTGGTGGTGTGTCATTAGGGAGGTGGTGTACATGGTGTGTCAGTAGGGAGGTGGTGTACATGGTGTGTCAGTAGGGAGATGGTGTACATGGTGTGTCAGTAGGGAGGTGGTGTACATGATGTTTCAGTAGGGTGGTGGTGTGTCATTAGGGAGGTGGTGTACATGGTGTGTCAGTAGGGAGGTGGTGTGTCAGTAGGGAGGTGGTGTAAATGGTATTCTTTATGTATTGTTACGAGGCATACTGTAGATTCCAGTACTTACATCTCAGATTTTGACTTCAACAGGTGGTACACAAACTATGGCAGGGAAGTTGTGTGGAGGAGAAGACAAGCTGTGATGAAATTCTGGCATGACATGCGAGGAAAACCTTGATGAACACTCCACTAGGTTACTGCTGTGTGTGATATATTATGTACAAAAGGTGTAACAAACAGCTGGGAACAAGTGAAATGTTGCACCAATAAAGGACATTATTTCAAAACGTTCATTTTTGTTTTTAAAAAAATAGCCTTTGAACCAAACAAA